AAAGAAGGGAAATAAGACTATACATTCCGATTTATTTACTTTTGGAAAAAAACACACAGGAGATACGAGCTAATGAATTAAAAATGGTTACCTGTAGGGGGTGGGTAGAGACAATTTGAAGGTGCTTAAAGGGATAGGAACAAGACTTCTCTGAAAGTACGTTTTAATATAGTTTTGCATTTTTAACCATGTAAATGTTATGTGTTTTGAAAAAAAAGTTAAGTCAAAAGGGAGGGAGGGAGGAGGCTAGATGGAGCCTGAAGCAAGCCTAAAATGCAGGTTTCAGAGTGCTAGCATCGCACTTCAGTGTTAACTAGCAGATTACCCACTGTTCATCTGCAGCTCTTCAGTGGGTTTTACTCATGAAGCTTTTGAGGAGACTGGCCTTATCTGGAGGAACAGATAGAGATGGTCTTACAGAGGAATTTTAATTCATGGACTTGCAAGCCCATATGATTTAGAAGGATTTACGGCAGGATAATTTGTAGGCTGATCAAGATTTAAAAATGATCCAGGTTTTGCATACAGTTGTATTTTCAAGTCTTTGGCACTTTCTAGTTTTTCCTTTTTACTGAAATTTTTGATGCATCAGTATTGCGTATATTTTTGAACTTCCCCACCTCCCCCCCACCAATTATTTTCAGTACGTTAACCCAGAAAATCTTGTTGATCATAGATTTGAGTACCGACTTCCATTTATTAAACATAGAATCCTTTCCATGTGCACACATCTCAAAATTTGCATCCAAGTACATTTAATCAAAGATAATGACATTTAAATCACATATATCAAGTTTTCTAAAGATAACATTCTCATCTACTTTCACTCTGCCAAATGTATTATTCTACACAAAGTGGAGCGCTAAAGAACGCTTGGCTACAATCAACTATTTAAGCCTACAAAATCAGTGCGTTTGCTCTCTCCTCCTTTCTCCTGTTACACTTAATAGATGTTGTATCTGAGCATCTGGGGAAGTAGGTGTGGTTCAGAGTTATTACTTTGTGTTAATCATACCCTTAATCTATTTGAGGTCATCATATACTTACATACACACGTTTATAATGTAAATACCTTAAGACAGTCCTTAAGTTCATCAGGAATCTTTCTGTTGTTCAAATCAAGACATGTTTAACCACTTGGGAGTAAACTACCCGGCACTGAATGGCTTTAAAATCCTGAGAAAACGGACTCTGACTTTACATTTTTTTCAGGTTGGCACACTTAGAAATCATATTTTGAATATGTTAAATCAGATTCTCATCTTAAACTAGACTGGTAAATGGTAGTCAGACCGAATTTAGAAAAAAAAAATGTCTATTAATCATTGTATCGAAAATATTCTATTTACACACTTTCTTGTCACAGTTTCTTGAAGTGCCATTATTTGACTTTAGGACTGGAACAACTCAGTAGCCATCACTAAGACTCAAAAGGACTCTTTCCTCTATCACTTCCACTTCCTAAAACCCATTGCTTTATCTTCTCCCTGACCACTCACCATCTTTTCCAACCACTATGGACCCTAATGCAGCACAAATCCATGCTTCCTTCCCAAGAGTGCAAAAATCTAGGAGTATGATGCCGGGAGGAGGTCACTACTACTCCCAAATGCTTCTTCTGAAACCAACTTAAAACACTATGCCATACATCCCAGCTTGCCTAGGAGAGCCCCCATTTTATGGCAGCTGCCCTATCCCAGTAAGTACTAATTGTGCCCCCTTTTGATCTCAAAAGTGTTCTGGCTTGGACTATAAAAGATATGGTTGGCCTAATTATAGGTTATCAAATTTAAAGACATCCTTCTCTTGTTAAAGAAATACTCAAGATGAAGTTTCTTTGAAGCATGACTACAGAGTAAGCACTCCGCAATTTCTACTTTTCTGCGGTGGGAGGTAGACTAGCACTTCCCTGGAGTCAGATCTCTATCACCACAGTTGCAATCTTGGCTCGAACACTTAATGACCACAAACTTGGGGGAAGTTATATGATCTCTTTGCCTCAGTTTACTCATCTGTAAGATGGGGACACAACAGTACCCAACTCAGAGGGTCACTGTGAGGACTAAAAAGAATGTATATTAGGTACCTAGCACTGTGCTTTGCACAGGTTGTCAGTAAATGGTATCCGTAGGCCACACTAAAAAATACCATCCTCATTTCCCTGTTCAACTGAAAAAGTACATCTTCCTTTCAAAACCAAAATACCACATGGACTGCTTCACAATATATATACAAAACTACTACTGTGCAAAGCACTCCAGGACAGTGATATGAAACATTTAAAATTGGTGATGTTTGCTATTCATCAAAGACCAACATAATTTCATACCTAGGGATCCTGGAAAGACCGGACAACCCCCCACCCCTCAAATTCAATACCTTTTCCCATCCATGGCAGTTAGGTTGTTGCTCCACTGAAGGTGCTCTGGCAAATGTCACCAACCATCTTGTGCCAACCCAAAGGAATCCCTGTAATCCTCATCTTTGCAGCATGGTGTGGTTGTTCTTCAAAAGCTCTGGTTTGTCCAACATCACCCTGGCTGGTTTAGCTTTCTTCTCCTCTGCAATCTCCGTTTCTCTCATATGTGACATTCCTTAGTGGGTATTTGGTCTACCTCTCCTCACCACAGTTCCTAGATCGTATCATCTCTTCTGGCTCTAAGCATCACCTCAGTGAACAGCAGATACATGGTTCCAGACCAGGCCTCTCCTAACTTCATCTACTTAGATGCCCCACAAGCAGTTCATTAGTTTCTGCCTCCAGAACCACACTTCCGTATTTCCTATTCTCGTTAGAAGCACACCACTTGAAGACATCTAATGGGTCCTGTGGAACTTACTTTTTGTCTTCCCAATCTGTGCTCTTATTTCCAACCTCGCAACATCCAAAGCTCAAATCCAAATCCTCTCTTCCTTAAATTTCTCTGCTTTGGAGATATGCCTCTGGCAGCAATGTATAGAATAGATGGAGTGTGTTAAAGTAGGCAGGAAGACTACTGCAAATTCAGTGCTGTTCTTTCGTTTAAATCCCATGGACGGTTCCATATTAACCACAGGGTAAAGTGTAAACACCGCTCATGGCAGAGGCAGCTTTCCCACATCTCGGAGCCTTCCTACCCTTTCTTTTAGCACTCCTCCAACCCCTTCGCCAAAGTTCCCAAATCCTCTTGGCTCGGGAAGGTGTGATGTAAACCTCACTGAAATGCAGGCCGCCCCGATACTACCCTTCTTGTTAACTCTTCTAGGTTTTGCCTGATGTATTACATCAATCTCCCATATTAGATGTGTGTGGAGAGGATAGAGGACAGGGATCACATCTTAGATTTGCTTTTAGGAGATGCTAAATAAGTATACTGACTAAATGAAAATACACGACAATAATTTAAAGATTTAATGACTAGGTTCGGAGAAGACACTTCATTTCAGTTAAATTTATAGTATTATGTGATCTTAAATTTCCGTTGAAATTGTGAAGGCTGTGTCAGTTTACTACTTTTAGAAACTGACTCAGGTTTTATTTCAAAATGAAGAAGCCACTTTTTTTACTGATTTAACATAGGTTAAAAAGCAAGTTGAACTGCTCTACTGATGGTATATGATTTCCTATTCAACTGGTGACAAAGAGAAAAGTATATGATTCAGTTCCCACTATCTGGATCAACATCTGCTTTTTTATACATTTTGTAATTAGCTTTTCTTTAAACAATGTGTGTTATTAAGGCATCTAAATAAAGTGTGCTTTTAGTGGGATTTACCTATACATAGAGCAGTAAAAAGAAAAAAAAATTCTATTTCTTCTGAAATCTGAAAAATGTAAATTATAAAGGATATCAAATTGATGAAAAGAAAGCAGTTTGCACAACTTTATCTAGTTATACTTCAGAGTAATGTTGATGTGTTTGATTTCTATCTCCTATTCTCTACCCATTCAAAGATTAAGCTGAGCAAGTATTATTCTTGACATAAAACTTCCAAGTATGTATTGATTAAACAGCACTAAATTACTCTTAAATGTCAGACAACCTGTATTAGTCTTAGCAATAAACAATCTGATAAAACCATAGAAAATAAGACACTTTGTCAGTAAGATAAACTAGAAGTGGTTAAGCTACATTTAGGCATAAATTTAGCATTCTTACAATCTTTGCTTCTGGATCGTTGGCTTGCGATTTTTATTTGCAAAAATGTATGTCTTTAGTTATTTCAAAAATATTAGTGGTTACACATCCTAAGCAGCACTTAGACAAGCACTCTTGCTTCTTAACTAAAATAGATTTGTAAGTATTTCCTTCTGAAGTTATAAGAGATGATGGCTGCTATTGATGATACTCAATATTTACCAAATTAACTAATTAAGTAAAATATCTCCATGCTTTCAAGCCTTCGAACTGTTTCTGGGAGGACAACATACTCCAAAACTATCTGAACAAGAATACTTGATTAATGCAATCAGCACGGCATTTCCCCAGATAGGATTATAAATTCTCTTTAGTCATAAATGTAACTCCATTTCTAGCATTCTCTATGCTTCTTCACTAAAGCTTCCTGGAAAATCTTATAAAGAACAGTGTGATAAAAAGAGAGTATGTGCCAAGTGCAAGGTACCATTGTTGTAAAACGAAATTAATTAGAAGTGACTTGTTAATGCTAATATAGCTTGCTATATTTTTACCAGTGATACGGATTTGTAGACTCTCCCCCCCCACCCCAATCACATCATGCAAGCAGGAAAGCATGAAATTTCAAAATTGCCTAACATTAAAAAATAAGTCTCTTAATTTATTTGCATTCTAAAATAGAGCCCTTCATCTGAATTTTTCCATATAAAATTCTACTTAGTGATGTACAAGATTTATCAAGCCCATGTAACATTCCCTTTAAAATCTTAAGTTCAATCACTATTTGTTTTCTACTATTATACTATGTTTTGGCAGCAATTGTTTATTGGTCTGTCATTGCAGTAATTGCAACTTAACAATAAACCAGTCTGACATTTTAGGTCTTGAAGATACATACCATATATATTTCTTTAAAAATAATCATACTTTTGTAAGCAATACTTTACAGTAGACACCTCAAAAATCTACCATAGATGTGAAACTTAAAACGAGAAAAATTTAAGTTCTAAATCTCTATACATATATAGCCAGATTTCTATATATATTATATATACATACATAAGTATATATAAAATATATATAATCAGATTTGAAAAATGAACAAAAACTGGGCACTGTACATAAAGTCTTTTTAAAACTCAAACAATAGAAAACTCTTTAAACATTAAACAATTTTAATAAAAGTTTCTGTACAATGCTAAGCAGTTTTATTTACACATAGAAAATGTAAGAGGAGTAGTGTTTGAAATTACAGAACTCCTTAAAATTTCAATGGCAGGTAAATCTGGAAAAAATAACAGCATTCCATTCACAAATATTTTCAAGCAATAAATATGTATTTATAAATAGTGTAAATTTACATCAAGATTAGAAACAAAAATCACAAATCTGAAGTTTATTCCTTAGTCTATGTGCAATCCATTATCTTTGTGACTTGGCTGTTAATTTTTTAAACATTTTATTTAGGAACCAAAAGTGTAATAACCGTCATGGTTTCAAAACAAGACAGAAAAACATAAAAGCAGTAAAAAAGTTCCTTACCTAACTTTTCACATTAAAAAAAAGTTGACCAAAGAAAGACTTAAAATTGCTAACTACCTTACAAAGAAATGACCAGCTAGGCTAGTATTTTTTTTCCAAGGAAAATTCTGAAGGGGGAAAAGATAGATGAAAACCAATTCATCAGCCCAGAAATAGAGAAATATAAAAGAGGTTGTTTTCAAGTCAGTAGTCTGTATGATGTTGCCAGTTTTGTCAGATATATACAAAACATGGAATTTATTATTTTGTTTCTGAAGTACAGCTGATCAGCTCTGTGAGAGTCCTGGAGTAGGAGCAGTGCTCTCCCCTGTCCAGTTGGTTGACACTCCACACTTGGAAGGTTGCATAGACACAGTTTTCAGCCAGCAGCCTTACGAGACAGCTACAAAAACCAGTGGTGCAGAACTGAGTTACTTCCTGAATAGCAGAAAAGGTCGCATTTACTGTCCATGGAACAATATCAAGATGAGGAGGATGGTAATGGAGGAGCCTGAAAATAAAAGGTGTGTTACTTTGGTATACAAACGGTTAATAGCAGTCCCTAGCTCAAGTCTACAAACACAGTCTGCTTATGAATGCAGGGGAAGGAACAATTCTCAAAAGAAAGTTTCACAGTCTGCTACACAATGTCAATGTAGAACCTTCCTTACTACTGTCTCCTGCATGGCCAATTTTCCTAAGGGTCTGGGACCATTATTCTACTCAGTGTGCCTACATTTTTCTGTACTTCACCAATTAGTCAAAAGCTCTTAGGATGTTACTAGGTTGACCGTTTTCTAGATTGCTTAAAAAAAAAAAAAAAAACGGCTTTCAGAAAATGATTTCACAAATCAATTATAATTTCATTAGTGACTGACTTCAGAAGCTATCTCAACGAGATAATATATTTTAACATATTCCGGATAATTTTCTTCTTCTTTAAGCAATCTTAAAGACCATCTAAGTGAAACTGGGAGCTAAATTTCAATAATTCGGGTTCTGGTCACATATGCAGAGAAAAGTACTGGAGGAAATCAACAATTAATAAATCATATCTGTGTGTCTATTCATGAAACTATTGATGTGCTAGAGTAAAATGCTTCCCCCTAAGCATCTGCTGTTTAAAATTAAAAACTGTGTAATAATTTATAAGTATACTTGAATTTCATAAGGTTATATAACGTACCAGGAAGTTAAGCTCCATCAGATATTCCCATGAGGTTAATACTTCTGGCAAGGACAAAATTTTAAATACATATAATTAGCTCTAAAAGCAGAAGTCTATTTAAAGACCACACTTACTGATTCATTTTGTGGACGCTAATAACCTATGCACACATTTTATCAACTGAAATCAAATGGCACAGAGGATATGATAGTGTTCTAAAAGCACAGAAAGATTTTAAAATGTAATTACGGTGACATTATTTAGGCTTGGACTCACCCAGGAAGAAAAGTGAAAATGAAACATACCAATTTTATAGGAATAAATACTTGGAAGTGAAGGAGGGGGAAATGATATGACTATTTCCTCATGCAATATCTAACAAGCAAAGGAAAATATAATATTTCATTACCTCCTACTTCTCAGGTGGCAGAACAAACACTGCTGCTTCCCTATCCAGCTAAGTATGTACTCACATGCTGATTTCACTTACTAATGTAAATTGGTCATAGACTTGCATCAGGTCCTCCATTTTATACTGTTCTAGCACCACAAAATTTTCCAGGTTTCCGCTTGTTTTTCGTGCACAATCTTGGCAATGCACTATGTAGGTCTTTCGAGAATTGCTCTCATTTGTGACAAAAAGCAGATCAAAAACCTCCACCTATTTTATGCAAGAGAGAAAGAGTTCAATAGAGAGAGTATTTATTTATTGTACTGTTTTAGTATAATCACAGAATTCTACTTTACATGGAATTGTGGACAGTGATCTCTGGTTAAGAGTAGCTACTAAGACAAACACGGCCATGTCTGAGAATCTTCAACAGACCAGGTTTATTTTGCACCAAACCCAAAGACATGGGTGGTAATGCAACTTTGGGGGAGGGACTTAAAGGAATGACACACCCTTTACAACCACTGGCAAAAGCCTAATTTAAAAGTTGATCAAGGTCAGCCTATTTTTGTTTTAAATCCAAAACAATGGTATACAGTTAGAAGAAAGTGATGGTTATTTTCCGTTTACTTCTCTGTTAACAGTACTCATCACAGAGCACTGTGTATGGATACTTTTCTCCCAGAGACTGAGCTCCTCAACAATGAAGACTATGTTTCACTCACTTTTGCACCTCCAGAGCATAGCACAGTGCTAATAAGGCAAACCTCAACACTTGCTGAATAAATATAATCTGATTATTTTACAGACGAGGAAACTGACAGATAAGTGACAGTGAGTGTTTAGCTATAAGCCTCATGTTAAGGAATAGGAGTACAGGCAAAAGGTATATTTATGAGTATAGCATGATTTTAGAAATAATACCTCTACCTTTTACAGATTGATGAGCTGCTAGGGTTCAGGTGGGATAAGAAATAACACTGAGGGATAGAAGTCATTCTGAAATTCTGAAAAGCTGATACATTCATTTCTTTTTTTTTTGAGGTATAACAAACCTAAACAGAATCTATCTGATCTCCCAAAGATTTAACTTTGGCCAGGTTGCACAACATTAAAACAGCCAATGGACTGGGGTGCCTGGGTGGCTCAGTCGTTAAACGGCTGCCTTCGGCTCAGGTCATGATCCCAGGGTCCTGGGATCGAGCCCTACATCGGGCTCTCTGCTCAGTGGGAAGCCTGCTTCTCCCTCTCCCACTCCCCCTGCTTGTGTTCCCTGTGTCACTCGCTCTCTCTCTGTCAAATAAATAAATAAAATCTTTAAAAAAATAAAAAATAAAATAAATAAAAAACAGCCGATGGATTCACTCATTTCAAATAAAAGTCAACGTTAGAATACAGAATTTCAAGGTTTGGAATGGATCATTAATATCCCTGGCTTTGGCATATCCTTGAATTTATTCAATGACAGAAAACTCTCATGACCTCCTGTCTTCTTTGAACAGCGTGTTAACTAAAATCCCAGCATTCACCATTTTACCATTACTATCAATGGGTAACAACATGAACCTGGTGATCTGAGCTAGAAAATTTGTGAGCATTCTTCGACCTGTCCCTCACTTCTGCCATGTAATGAGCTGTCTTGTGGATTTTACCTTCTAAATATTTTGAATTCCTCTCCTTCTTTACTATTCCCACTGCAATCTCATGTAGGTCTGAAGATAACAACTCTTTCTTAAAACCACTGCAATAGCTCCTATCTCCATTCTTTCCAATCACATTTCGCTTTCAAACACATATCCAAAGTGGCTGCCTGCTCAACATTTTTTGATGGCTTCAATGACCTCAGAATAAATATCAAGTTCCTTAAAATCATTCCAGATGCTCTGCAAAGCTTCCTACCCGCTAGACTTGTAAGTAGAATTTGCATATTCTGTGTTCCAGCATACTGGACTACTTACCCTTTTCTGAGTAAGCCATTTCATTTCCCATGTTGTGCCTACAGCTCATAATAACATTCACTCCACTTCCAATTCTCATCATTTTTTAGCCACTTCAAGGATGGACTGAAATGTTAATACTTTTGTGAATTCTTATGCCAACACTAGAAGGGAAAATTAGGTCATTTTCCCCCTCAGTGTTATCCTAACAGTAAGATCCAACTTGGCATTCACCACAGTCTCATGTACATTACAATTAGTTGTTTATAATTTGTCTTCTCCGAGTAGAATATAAGCTCTTTCAGAACAGGTACTACATTAATATTTGTTTCTGCTTCTCTTGAATGCCTTGGCCACAGAAGACTGACCAATGTATTATGAACTGCACCAGAGAGGGGTGAGCACTGATCTGCCTGGAGCTATACCGAACTACATCCAGTTTACTGTCATCTGTTTATATCTGGATTATTCCCAGTTTAAAATCTCAAGACTAAACTTCTTGATGATTATCATTTGTTAAACATCTACCAGACAAATGACTCTGTCATAATTACTTGTAGAGTTAATTCACTGTTAGCGAAACAGTAGGTCATTGAATTTTAACATAACAGCTAAGTAACAAGAAAATAACAAGATTGAATACAATGTCAATTTCAGTAAGATGCAGGACATGAGAGTATAAATACTCTTTATAAATTTTATATTTGTAAATTTTAAATAAAGTAACCAAAGAGAAACCAAAAGTAGAGAGGTAAGAGGCTTTATAAAACAACCCTGGATAACAATACTTACCTCACAAATGCTACAGTAATGTGCCGGTTCTTCTTTTGTCCGCCCATGCCATATAATCTCTTTTCCTGCAGCAATCAGAGCTTCCCTCAATGTCTGACATTGCTTCAGAGTTCTCAGAAGACAATACCTATTATGGGGGAAAAATTATTTGTGACCAGCAACAGAATACTGTATATCATTAGCATAAAAGATATACTCCCAGAGACTTGGTTCTAGTATCTGTGACTTTCTAATTTTTTTTTTTTGGTCAATTTCTCGGATATTCTCTTAAAAAATAAGGCCAATGCTCAGCAAGTCTGATGATGACAATATTAGATCATTTACAGTTGAAAATTAATTGATATCTGAATATCAAAATATAGTGATCTTAATACAAAAAACCCAACTCCTTGCTTAAATAGAAGTTGCTAACTTTGGCTCTTATTTGGGCAAGTCAATTAACCTCTTTGGGAGTCAATGTCCTCATCCTTTACATAAGGGGTCTAAAGTCCAGATCTCAACTGCTATAGTTCTATTAAGGCAGGAAGGCACATTATTTCTGTCAGCACTACCTAGACACTCATAAATAGCATCATCTGTACAGGTGATTTTGAAACTTTTGAGTTTGTACACAAAAAACTATAGATTTAGTTACTACATGACACAAAATTGGTTTCACTACAGCGCTAAAGAAGAAAAAAAGACATTACCTGATTTTAACTTGAGGATAATATAGAATCTTTCATTTATATTAACACAAGTCAACTCTTCTTATACCTTTTCTAAATTCATACTTATGATGCTAACAATATATTGAATTCTCACAATTTGTGATTTTCCTACAGTTTGCTGTCACTATTTGGACTTGTCTGCTAAAGTCTCTTATTCTCCTGTGAATTAGTGGCTCAGGTTCTCCATTTCAAAGAGAACTTGGACTAGATGGTCTCTAAGGCACTTTGCAGCTCTAAAATTTTTGCAGACAATGAAAATACCCTAAAGAAAAGGAAATGGGTTTAGCAACTGACTGCTGTTTGAGAGCAAAGTTTTTGTCTATTTTATTCATTGCCTAGGACAGTGCCTGGCATATAGTAGGTGCTCGATAAACATTCAATTACTTAACAAGTAAAATTTAGAGCATGATAACAGCATATTTAATTTCTCTGAATTTGTATTTCCTAAGTTACAAGGTTAAAGTATTTTAATTTATCAGAACCCATGTACATTAAGCCAAGGGAAAAAAGATGACTTAAAATATATGTAAACCTGTTACTTTATGTAACAAACCTTAAACAATAGCAACTTTACAGTTGTAAGGCAGATCCTTTCAGTATCATAGTCAAAAGAATTTCACTCTTAATTTGGCTTCAGCAATTCTTGTGTTTAACTTATTTAAAAACAAAATAATGCTTTAGATTGTGGTTTGCAAGTCAAACACAGGACAGCTGTGTGTGGGGGGGAGTGGGGAGAGATATGTCAGGGGAGGTAGCAAGTAAAAAGTTAGATCATGGCAAAAAGAAGATAGAATTCTAGACTATGCCGCCAGCTCTTGAACAGTACCTGCTCCTCCCTTTTCCCCTTCCCGCTTCACGTACAATTCACTTCTGAAGCCACTGATCTTACTAAACAAGTTTTCCAAGCAGGGCTTCAAAATAAGGTCTCTTTCACAGGAAAATAATGCCTAAAACTTTGCAGATATCTTTGGAAAATTTGCAGACTCCACTATGCTCTTGTGTGAGAAACAAAGAAAAAATAATACAATAAAGTACATAAATAATTAAAAATAAGAAAACAGGAGGCATGGTATGAGGTACTTCAGACACGTTATGCCATGTAGGCCTCTTAACAGCCCTGTGAGAGGCACTCTTATTTCCATCTTACCAATGAGCCAACTAGGGCTCAGGGAAGCTCAATTTGTCTGATGTCATAAAGCTAATTTTTAAGTGGCTGGGCTAGGGGTTTGTGAAAACAAATTGTTAAGCCTCCCCTCACTACCTCACACTGTACTTTCTGGTATCTTTTCCTATCTCTTTTTACCTGCCTGCTCCCCCTCATCTCTTTTGAAGATGAGATTCTTTTTTTTTTTTTTTTAAAGATTTTATTTATTTATTTGACAGAGAGAGACACAGCGAGAGAGGGAACACCAGCAGGGGGAGGAGGAGAGGGAGAAGCAGGGTCCCCGCAGAGCAGGGAGCCCGATGTGGGACTTGATCCCAGGACCCTGGGATCATGACCTGAGCCGAAGGCAGTCGCTTAACCGACTGAGCCACCCAGGCGCCCTTGAAGATGAGATTCTTGAAGCTCCATCAGCACAGCTTGGTTTTGTGTATCGAACACAGAGCCTTGGTTCTGAGGGGAGCAGTACTCCACTCTACTCAGCGAATGAACTTCTACCTCCAATGCTATGGACTACTTTGGCAGTTAGATTGTAGTTTACAACTTAAGCCTCGTTAGGTAGTTTTATCCAGAAAAAGGCAATTAGTATATATTTTTTTCCTACAAACAATAAAGGGTTAGAGCTAGGGTTATATTAAGAGTAAACACTAAGCCATGAATATGCTGCTTCTGGAATCACAGCTCCAGAATTTTTATTTTGTGAGATACTGGAATCTTAGAAAATCAATTCAACTAATGTGATCTGACAACAAATAACCAAATTGTGGTTTCCCCCTTGCCCTTTGGTTTTTTCCTTAACAGTAAAAGTTTTTGTTTCTTCCCATTTTCAAAAGGTAGCAGTTGGAACAGAAGGAGAACTGAGAGAGACAGAGGCTCTTTTGGAGTCCACAGCAATAAGCAGGTCCTAGAGAGAGGATGTGATTCAACTGAAGGGTAGGGAACAAGAAACAGAAAATAAAAACATTTGAGGAAAGGATGCCTAGGGAAGGCACAGATATACTTATTCAAGACTTGACTTTTAACAGTCATCTGGTTCTGCTTTGGTTCATCTCAGGCTTTGGTTTTATGGGACGACAACATGTGAATGTACTGAAGAGCTAAAAACTAAGAGTCAAACAAAATCACTGTTGCCATTTCCTCTTTATTTTAGTTTTGCTGAATTTTAATAAACTTATAGCAATTAAAAATGTAACTTGTTAAAAACAAAATAATAAATCACTAGCAAAAAGCATAAAAATGTAGAGGATGGGGCGCCTGGGTGGCTCAGTCATTAAACGTCTGCCTTCCGCTCAGTCATGATCCCAGGGTTCTGGGATCGAGCCCCGCATCGGGCTCCCTACTCCTCGGAAGCCTGCTTCTCCCTCTCCCACTCCCCTTGCTGTGTTCCCGGTGTCTCTCTCTGTCAAATAAATAAAGTCTTAAAAAAAAAATATAGAGGATAGAAGATGCTGTTTTTAACAAATGCATTTTAGGAACAGGGTCAGAAATGATTTCAGGAGCCAGAAAAGCAGGAAATTCTGTGACTTTTAAGGATCAGTCTGGTTTCAGGACCCTGTGTTTAGCTGTCTGGATGAAGACTACACAAAAAGGCAGGGAGTATTAAAGACAGCTCTGGCTTGGAAGAAAACCACAAGGAAGAGGCTGATTGAGGGTGTGTTGTATTTGAGGTTACACAGAATCTAATCCACCCAAAAACCCATCTGCAAAGATGGAACCTCAAGAGGGATGGAATTTTAGTGAACAGCTTTACATAGGGGATAGAAATGCAAATATACCTGAAATATCAGAATAAGAACACTGAAGACAATAAATAGACTGACAAATGATTATGAACAATATAATCATAAATCAATACATTGGGCAAAAGATAAAGCATGCCATGAATGCAAAAGGAAGGAGCAGCTCATCTTCCATTGAGGGGAGATGGGAAATCACAGAAGTTTTCATAAAGAAGTTGTCAATTTAGATGTGAGCAAGGAGGAGAGGTGGGAGGAAGGCATCTTCCAGGCAGTGCGAATGCCATGAACAAAGCTAGTATGGGGATTATTCAGGAAACAAACAACTGTTGCTACAAGATTTTAATCTTGGGATGGGGTTTCTGGGCCAGGAGAATAAAGGAATAAAGCCACAGTGACAGTACATTATGTTGAAGTGAAGACAACACTGGGGACTACTCAGATATTCCAAGAGTAACTTAGGACTAAGTTTCCAAAGTTAGTTCCCAAATACCACTGTGGAGACAGATGAAACATGGGTTAACTTGATACAACAAGTCTTTATGGTAACAACCTTAGCCACTAAGAAGTAAATGGGGTACAAATTAAAGTACACCAAGAGGTGCCCTGCCTTGACCAATCTCTCTTACTGAAAGAGCCATGCAGGTAAAGTGAGCCAACATGTGAGCCCTTGAAACAAACTTGCCACCTGTCACTCCAGGGTTTCATTTCCCTAAGACAACAGTGTCTGAATGTAAGACATCTAATAGTTTCATTTAAACCAACCACATGGCTGAAAATCAAGGTCTCAGTCAATGATAAAATGAGTATCTTAAGAATTTTAAATTCCTGGATGGAAAAATCAAACATGAAAGCAAATGTTAACCATGAGGATGTAGTTTTAGAATTTTTAGATTTTGTTTATACGGTGTTCTCACGAAGTACTGTATATTTAACCCAATGGTGTTTCAGAAGACCCAGCCTCAGGATGAGAGCATCAGGATCTACACCAACTATGGACTGGTCTTCATGGCTATACCCTCTCAATCAATTATTAGGCCAACTGGATATTACCAAAGAGCTGGAGTCCATTTGTCCATTAAAAAAATGGGAATCAAAGGCAAAGGGGAGTTAATAGTGACCAATTTGCTTTAATGTATATTCAAAACCTCTGTGCTTGTGATAAAGTTTATATTATGTAGATAGGGTAATAATCTATAGTATGTACCAAAAAAAGGGAAAACAAAAATATTGTTAGTTTTAAGAGATCTAATCTAGTCTAGGATGTCAGGGACTTGCCTGATCAGAGGATTTATCTAGGCCACTGTGAGAGAGATTCCCAGGGTTCTTCCCATAGAGCTTTGAATTTACTTGTTAAGAACAGAGACTAGAAATCTATTTTAGTAAGAGTCTCTGCTGATTTTTATGATTAGGGAAGTAAGAACCAGTGCAAACCTCTTACTTCATAAGTGATGAAACTGGGAACAATGTCTAAAATTTGTAGTATTCTTCAATAGACATTAGTACTATACCAACTTCA